GTGGTCTTTCATTACTGTAGTGAGTAGAATTTATTGCTTTAGTATTGCTTTACAAGTAACCAGTAACAGCTATAGTTAAATATGTTTACTTAATAGTTGGCACTGTCGATTCGGTAGATTATAGACTGTTCTTTATATCTGTTAATTGGTTATTTATTTGTGTGCCATATATCTTCCACATTTCTGAGATGATATTAATCAACCAAGTGATACTGGTATCCATTTGATCCTGCCGTCTGGGCAGAGGCCACATATCGATTCGTCGTTAGTTGTTGCTATAAACGGTATCTGTAAGCAGCAATGGCGGTGATGACGGCAACGACAATGGGGCAACAGTGATGATAGTGCTTTGTGGTGGTGGTGGGGGAGTAAGGGTTTAGGGATTGCCTTTAACATCATTCATTTAAGTGCCGGAACATTGCTATAGAGAACAAACCAATGGATTATGTAGTCATTAACGGCAATGATTATTGATCTATTGATTTTATATGTTTGTCTGTTCGTGTATTTTGTTCAATCGAAAAAAAAAAAAAAATCTAGTAAAACTGCTAGTGGATGGTGAACTTTTGGGAGATAAACAAAAAGAATGATGAAAAGTAAAGGAAAAATTTTTAGCAGTTTACTTGACAGATTTATTTTTACTACCAACTTATGTATCTTTTTTTTTTTGTTTTCCTTATTGTCTTCTGTATTCTGCAATTCCGTATAGTTTTTTTTGGATAAGCAAAAAATTGTTGTTACCAAGAAAAAAAAATACTGCTCTACTGAAGGTATAAACAGAGACAGATGTTGATGGCGGGAGAGTACAAGAAAAGAATGACCAAATTACAACAGTATAGCTTTTTTTTACTAAATTTATTAGTTTTTTTCTATCAAACAGTGAACTGTGGAAAGAGTGAAATTTGAAAAATAAAAAGGGAAATTAATTTTTGTGTATCTGTTTAGTAATGGCTGACTTTATAGTGGTTTGATCAAAGATCTATCGTTGATCTTTTAAGTGTAACCATTTGATCAATTTTATTTGGGAGGGGTAAGGGAGAAAACTGATGATGAGCGTACACGTCGTATATCCATTATCAGCGTTGTTTGAATGGGAGTACATTTTAAACAGTCAGTTTGTGAGCATTGAATGTCTCGGTTAGTACTGAAGCTTAGACTAGGCGAACGAAAGAACGTTTTTTGCTGACTTTGTGTTAACCATTAGTGGTTAAGATGTTGAACAGAACTGGTCACCGCTGATTCATTTTCGTTAACTAAACATCGACTGTTTTCTACTTGGAACTCAATGAATGCACTTTTAACACTTTTCCTAAGCTTAACTGATCCTTTACTGGTGGTGACAATGGTGGTGTCAAGTATCAGTCTTGTTTTTTTTTTTTTTTTTTGGTTAATGTTAGTTTTTAATTTCTTACTAGTCTTATTCTCTTCTGCACAAATAAACCAGCTTTTTTTTATTTATTTCTTACTAGTCTTTATTTATGTGATGATTAAAAAACATGTTATTAAGGGATAGTTTTTGACTCGAGAATGATAGACGAATGAACATTTTCCTGTTGTTCATCAACAGTTCAAAACTTATTTTTCCATTAGCTTACATATATTGTTGATTTCCTTCAAGCAGTTTGGACTTATTTAACTTCAAACATTTACAGAGTCGTTACCAAAGTTTTTTTTGTTTCTCTGATTCACCTCATCATGTGCAGTAACCAGTCAAAAGTGGACCAGATACTAATCAAAGTTATAAAATTCAAGGACATAATTGACTTGTTGTCCACTATGTACTTTTGATATGTGTACGAGAAGACAATCCGTAAAGTAATAGTAGGGTAAAGAAACTGGAACTATAAAGTATATTCTATTTACTGGTTGGTGATAGCGAAATAGTATGACGTTGTTACAGCGTCGCTTAGATCATCAAACTAGGAAGATTCTAAATGGAGGACCTTTTGATCCTTTTCAAGCAGCTTTTCTGCGCAAATAAGGAGTAAATACAGTAAAATGAACTGTGATAAGATCAGACCAGTGTATCTGTAGTTTGTTGTCGAAGAAGGCTCCAGGCCAGAGATCTTTGCCAATAATGCTCGATTTGCCATAGTTTAGCGAAAAGACATT